TGCATTTATATAACTGCCTACCGTACAAATGTAATAATTTGATAATCAATTCGCAGTGCATTACCGCGCGAACTTAGCGTTGACGATTTGACAGCTCGCCAAAAGGGGACGATGACAATTGAAGCTGTCAAAATTGTAAGGGTTCCATTAGATGCAGTCTCCCACTGGGAGGGTAATACGATATTCGGATGGCTGATGCTTATGATACTGTACATTGGTTTTAGATTTGTAGAGATACAGGCAAGATCTTTCACCGAGCGGGCGATATTGCTCGGTAGACCGACGGTTCGAAGGTTGTTCGGAACTTGTATATATGCAAGCTTATGTTGAAAATGTCGTAAGCGAGATTCAGGCATCTGTCAAATATCTTGCGTTGTATGATGGCTATCCACCACAGATTTAAAATTAGGTAATAGTCTCCTCTTTTTGTCCCTACCTATTTGCTGGTAGCCTAAGAGGGTATTTCAGCTACGTCCGGATGAGTAAGTGAGCTCACGGGCTCAACCTGAGAGAATTAATACTAGCCCCAATAAGAGCAGTACTTTGCTGATTATACCACCAGATAGGAATTGCACCGCGCTGAGAAGATTCGGCGAGAAACTTAATGGACTAAATTCCTCTGTTTACCCCACGACGGAGATATATTATCATCATAATATAGGATGAAAACGCGTCACTTGTAAAAAATATTTGTCTCCGTATGTATATAAGTTGATAGAATTGAAAGCTATCTCCTTCACTATTCGTCCTATCGTCTGAACATTGTTTTTCAGCTGAGCTTCTTAATAACTGTTACGTCAGTTTTCATTAAAATAGAAAAGCGCTTAGTACCTAATAAAAAAATATAGTAATCAAATCATTTTTTGCGTAATTACGGTCTCACGGACTACTGTTGTCAAACTCTCTCAGATTGAGCCAATAATTTCGCCTACAACTTTGCTGAAGTGCATGTACCTAGCTAAAAACAAAAATATATGTATAAAAAAAAATCAAGCACCGTTAGTGTAATTTGGCGCGCTGTCATTTTGACGTTGTACCGGAAGGGGCGTGTCGGCGCGTTCCGTTTCACTTGCGGCCCAAAACGAGACGACATCCATTACAGTACTTAACTCGAGTCTCCCCCGTCTGTGTTGTGCGGTCGGTTATTCATCGCGAATGATTTGTGGGTGTCGTTGTGTTAATGCAGTTAGTCCGAGTTTGCGCGGAGAGAGTCTTGAGAGTATTTTTTTGTTTGTTCGACAGAATTGGGGGAACGCATTCCGAGATAACAATTAGAATACTCGAGACGAAGTTTTCGTTCATCCGGCTTATACATCTGACGACGCGGATCCATCGGTTTCGCTTCGGTGGGTGCAGTGAAGCCGTTTCTGATACGCTATTGAAATTTCGACTTTATGCTAGTGTAGATATAGCGGGTTTTACGTTGACTTAAATTATCCAAATTCGGAAATTGTTTTCATTCTCCCTTGAAATGACATGTCTAATAACGTATACTGTCTTCGTAATAAAGAGACACTATAGAAGTACAAAACCACTTTTTTTTTATTGCTTAGATGGTTGGACGAGCTCACAGCCCGCTTGGTGTTAAGTGGAAACTGGAGCCCATAGACATCTACGACGTAAATGTGCCACCCACCTTGAGATACAAGTTCTAAGGTCTCAATTATAATTACAACGGCTGCCCCACCCTTCAAACCGAAACGCATTACTGCTTCACGGCAGAAATACACAGGGTGTTGGTACCTACCTGTGCGAACTCACAAGAGGTCCCACCACCAGTAATTACGCAAATTATAATTTTTCGGGTTTGATTTTTATTACACAATGTTGTGTAATAAAAATCAAATGTTATTTCCTTCACCGTGGAAGTCAATCGTGAACATTTGTTGAGTAATAAATAAATAAATAAATATTTACTAACAGTCACACCACGTTAACTGGTCCCGTGATAATTTCGTAAAGAACTTGTGTTACAGGTACCAGATAACGGAAATAAATGTAAGATTTTTATTATACACATACATATATTTAATAGACATCCATAACCCTGGAAAAGACATTTATATTTATCATACAAATATCTTCCCTTGGCGGGATTCGAACCTGCGACCCCCCTGTGTAGTGACCATGTCACTTACCACTACACCAGACGGCCGTTAAACGTATTTCATTAGAAAAATTGGTACCCGCCTGCGGGATTCGAACACCGGTGCATCGCTCAACACGAATGCACTGGCCGTCTTATAGGCCACAACGACTTCGACTCACAAGAGGTCCCACCACCAGTAATCGCCCGAATAAATTGGCCAATTAAATTTGTCTAAAATGACCTATGCGAGTGTGAGCTTCGCTCAAAAACAGATAGATAGTTCTCAAACATCTTAACGATGATCTCTTGATCCTTGATCCTTGATCTTCCAGGCCATCCTGGTGAATATGAAGACAGCGTCGGAGTGCTTCTTCATGACGTCAACGCGACACGATACCCTCTTACCTAACGTGACCATACGTCCCGCTTCGGGCGGTATTGTCCCGCTTTTTTTTTTTTTTTTTGTTGCTTTCGATAGGCAGACGAGCTTACGGCTCATCTGATGGGAAATGATAACCGTCGCCCATAGACATCCAAACTACATCAGTGACTCAGATGCGCTGCCTATCCTGGCCTGGATGGGCAGCCTTATGTATGTTACACCGGCTATCCTGTCCTTCAGACCGGAACACAGTATTACTGTTTACTGTTACGGCAGAAATAGACAGGACGGTGGTACCAACCCGGGCTTTCAGGCTCTCCGTCCCGCTGTCCCCAACGAGAACAAAATTGTCCCGCTGTCATTTATCTGTTGTGCACGTGTTTATTAGAAACTTACCGAATACTTACTTCTTTATTCTTTACTAGAGGTCCCGCAGTAGTCGAAATGCGTCTATAATTAATTAGAATTGTAAGTTTGTACACTATTATGATTGTATTTTATACTTCTATAATCACAACTTTCGCCAAAGCTACACTTTAGACAAATATTAATAAAGACAAACAATATTTAATCTATTCTCAATTTGACCACAGACGTCAAGAACAAACGTTGGACAATAATTAATAGTAGGTATGCATGCGTGTGTGCGTCAAATACATGGTATGTAGTGTGTGTAATGTTTTCTGTATTGATTTAATGTATCTTTTATGCATTATTTAAAAAAAAATTAGCATTGTGCACTTCTTCTCTATATTCTCTATAAGTGTGGGAAATTCCATACTCCTCCGTCCGCGCAATTTTCGTCAAAAGGGATACAAAGTTTTTGCTTCACGTATTAATATATAGATTGTACACACAGTTAATATAATACAGTAATTGCGATAAGATATAAAAAATGGCGAGCTTAACTCAACAATTGAGTTTTCTACCAGCTAGCCGTTCTTAACGAAGGAAAGCTTTGAATGAGTGGGTAGAAGAATACAATCTAATCAATTTACAATTTACAATCTAAACAATGACAATAATAAAAATAAAAAACTTATGCCAAATCCTTTATTACAAAATATATACTAAAGTAGTAGCTCTTAATTTTGCTGTAGAAAAGATTTTTTTTTTGTTGCGAATTTATTTATAAATATTATTTTAAGGGCAAGTTGGTGAGATACCATAATAAATTATTTCAAGTCATTTTTTAATTCATATTTTTTATTTTGGACTTAAATTACATCTTACCCCGACCTACCCTACATATATATTTATTTATATACGACATTCCGTAGTCGTCCGCTTTGACACGAAAAACAATATGATCACGCTACTCACACCGTAACCGTCGTAGACCAGACTCCTGAGTAGACACGCCACTGCCAACTTCCACTGATTCTCTGGACACGGAGTCTCGAGTCCTCCCGATCCACTGTCAATTCTGATAAAGGGCTAGTTAGGGCGTTAGTAGCTCTAATAGTACCACTGCCAAAGCATAAGTTGCTGTACTTATCGATATTGAAGAAGACCACTGTGTCGTTAACAGCTCTCCCAAAACATTGACAAACAATCTGTACTTTTAACTACAAAGTATTTATTTCAAAAGTTAATCTGTACATTTTGCTTTTTAAACATACAGCCCGTAGCTAGATGTGTTTTCACACCACGAGAAGAAAGAAGAGAGAAGAAGAAAGAAAGGAAAAGGGAAGAGTGAAGAGAAGTTTAAGACAAACTTCATGCCAAATTCTCGATTCGACCCACACAACAAAACTCGACCCACTCAAGAATCGTACCAGCAACTTCATCACCCCTGCCTCGTCTGGCAGGGAGTCCAAGCCCGGGCAGAGGGGATTGCCCCGAGGCTCGATCCGTGCCTCCGCAAGGGGACACGAAGACCCAACGACTAGATGTGTTTGAATATTAGCTTACTTCAATTGAGTAACACAATTGTTATTCTAGAAAAATCAAATCACAGAAACTATTAAAGTATCTAACCGGTTTTTATTTTTATACTTTTTGTGTGTTTAATAGATGCGGCCGATATGCAAGCTCCGTGAACTTCTTCTATTAAGAAATGACTCATTGACTGTGTCACCAAAGAGAGCATAGCAGTCTCCCACACATAAAATACCCGTGGGAAGCGTAGTTAAACTTGACGCTAATTTTAAACATTCGTACATTGCCATCTAGCGTCCGATAGTACGACGTTGCCTAAATTGAGAACACTGCCATCTATTGCTGAATAGTTTTTCACAAGGTCACATGAAAATAGGCATAGACAATCACGTAAATCATTTGTGTTTTACGGTCACCGTGAAATGCATTTTAATTGAAAATATTGTAAGAATTGATATGAATTTCAAATTGTACCATAATAACTAACTAATACTTGAAAAAAAACTTTAATGCCTCATCGATTAACTTTTAAAGAAGAAAATAAATTCTAATGGCAAAAAATTCTTAAAAGGGGCAGATTTATGCCCAATAAAATTTTATCTTGTTTATAAACGACAAGAATGACAGCCACGATGGGGAAAAAAAACTAAAAAACAAACACGTCAATTGTCAAAATCTGTTGTGTCATGTCGGTGAATTATTTTGTTGAATCAATCGTTGTGATTAGTCCTTTAAAACATTAATCAAATTAAAAAACTTGACTGAATTCTGTGATATTGAAAGCTTACCATGCGTTGGTACAACGGTAGCATCGCGGAGGCCGTGAATCTATCGAAACAGAGGAATACAATTTTCGTGGTTTTCATACAAGGTAAGAAATAATTTACAGTGTTCATATATCAACGGAGTCTATGCAGGATCAATCGCGTTTGAATGGCAACCGCGCGGCAGGAGAAGACCAGGACGCCCTGTACACACTTGGCAATGTACTGTCGAAAACGAGACGAGAACTGCCGGGACGACCTGGAATGATGTTAAAAGGCAAGCGCAAGACAGTATGAAGTGGAGAAAACTTGTGAGGGCCTTATGTACCTGCGGGGTCTCTTAGGATTACGACAAACAACAACAACATGCCATTCCCAATAAACGAGGTGCTTTTAAAGATTTATCAGTAAACTGGGATGCTGGCACACCATTACACTGCTTAGTGTATAAACACTGAGTTTCTCATTGGATCTTCTCAGTGGGTGGCGACTTTGATCCGGTCATAGATCCAGCAAAGCACTGTAAATGTTAAATTCTCTCGGACTGAGCCCAGTAAGCTCTCTCATCAGAACAGGCTACTGACAGGCTACTATAGGTAGGAAAAAAAACAGTTGATCTCTAAGGATCTCTTAGTGTTAATTTTTTTGAGGTCTGGAGTGTGGGAGAACCATTTAGATTTTGCACTGGGACCATTTGTGTGTGAGAGTAACAAGGGACAGAAAGCTATGGAAGAAGCTGAAAGTCTCTTTTTAACAGGCTGAATAGAGACACTGTAAACTCATATATTCTATACACACTGTAAAAACATAATAATTTTTGTATAGAAACTATCGACATCTTGTAGCGGATGCCCCTAAACTTATATGTTGTTAAAGTTAAGACATTTAATGATTGTGTAACTAAACACAGAAAATAGAAAAATAATAAATCACACAAGTCTTTATTTGTTATCGACAAATTGATTAAATTTTTTTTTATTGCTTAGTTGGGTGGATGATCTCACAGCCCACCTGGTGTTAAATGGTTACTGGAGCCCATAGACGTCTACAACATAAATGCCGCCACCTACCTTGAGATATAAGGTCTCGAGTATAGTTACAACAGCTACCTCACCCTTCAAACCGATACGCATTACTGCTTCTCTGCTGCTACTCTGTACCACAAGAGGTCTCACCACCAGTAACTGAGAAAATCCGTCAAAAAACTGAGCTGGTTGTGTCTGGGTCAGTTTCTTCTTCTAACTCTTCTCAGATTCGACAAGTTCAATGAAAATGGTGATCAAGTACAATCAACTATGGTGCTTTTTATTTTTTACACAGGTGACAATGACTTGTCCGACGAAATGTCATCGACGCTTAACGATGTTGTGGTCAGATCGAAACTCTCAAATGAATCAAACTTTCTGGCCGTCAATCTGAAGAGTGGATCAACCAACTATACACATTTCGCACAAATATGTATCCTTTTCATTGTAATTAATATTCAATAGAGTTTATTGTAATTCATTAATTTTAGATATACACATAATATGTATAAAAAAGGCTGTTCTGTGTATGTATGTTCAATTAAAACTCGAGAACTATTAGGCCAAATGATGTGTAACTTTGCATAGGTATTATGCATGGGCGATGGTGAACACTGACCATCAGGTGGCCCGTATGCTCGTCTATCTGTAACACATTAAACGTCAACAATGCTAGGGGCAGAGTGCTCTCCACAAGCCTCGTTTGAAGAAGGACATGTTATAACACTCGGATAACCCCGTAGAGGGGAACTCATTCCAAAGCTGGACGGTGTTTGAATCAGTCGAAGGGTTATACAGCACTACTGAATGTCAAGGTCATTTATGGCGACTATTTGGTGGGAGCGCGAGGAGTGAAGTTGTGTGATTTGTTTTATTTTGTCTATATGGTGTTTCTTCAGGTTTAAATGTGTAATAGCCCTGGTTTATTAACTGTTTAATATCTGTGAAAGTGCACAAATGTGGAAAATTGAAACAAAACTGCTGGACGTAACTTCTCGAGAACCTCCAAAAAGTCCACTGAAAAAATCTCAGTAAATGACCGCCATTTTACTAAGATTATATTTCATTCCATATCATCTTATCTCATTTTATTTCTTTTCATTTCATTCCTGTTGATTAAGGTCTCAAATTAATCATCTTCATTTCATTTAATTTATTTCACTATTCACTCACTATCACTATCATTTTTCATAAAATTTATGAATATAAATAAAAATAAGACATGACTTAAAGGTCTTAATTATCAGGTCATAAAATCCCTTTTAAAAAAAAAGTCATTTATGGCACCACTCACACTGCGACGTCAACGGACGTTCACTCAACTTAAGGCTTTGGATCTTCACACGTTCATCCTTAAATCGAATTCAGATCAAATCGTGCCGGTGCCGTCATTATTCTTCATCGGCAGGAATGGTACTCCTCTCGAAGTGGTCTGCGCTGGTGTGGACGCCGACAATCTGTCCGCGAGGATCGATAGGATACTAGCGGAACATCGCAAGTATCATACTAATTAATAGAAATATCATTAAAGACGTATTTAGGAGTAAACAATGAGATTTTTTTTTTATTTGTTGCCTACATGGTGGTCTACTGGTCACCTGGTGTTAAGTGGATACCGGAGCCCATCGACATCTACAACGTAAATGCCGCTACCCACCTTGAGATATGAGTTCTAAAGTCTCAGTATAGTTACAACGTTTGCCCGGCCCTTCAAACCGAAACGCATTACTGCTTTACGACAGAAATAGGCAGAGTGGTACCTACCCGTAATCCATCACTGTTTATGTCGATATTATCGTCAGCGAGCTTAGCGTCAGCGTCAGAGGAACATATGGCTTAGCCCGGTGATGCTGATATGGTCGCTCTAGACCATCAGCTTAGGTAGGAAAAAAAACCATACAGCTACCTAATGGTGAGTGGTTACCGTCGCCCATGGACTTGGCAATGCCAGGGGTAGAGCCAAGCCGCTGCCTACCGCTATACCGATTCAGAAATCTGTCAAATATCTTGCGCGGTATGGTAGCTACCGCCAAATATACCATATCTGTATGTTTATTTTGTGGTAGGATGTGTTGCAAGAGGGTAGGAATAGCCCTGTTTCTGCCGCGAAGCTGTCATGCGTTCCAGTTTGAAGGGTGTGGTAGATGGGTATGCGAAGCCATCGACCTCACGTCTCAAGGTTGGCACTCTTGCTGTGATGTCTAGAAGCTTTATAATATTGACGTAGTATAAAGCCTACGACTGTTTTAAATTCTTTTTTCTCTCTCCTTTACAGGGCAAGAAAATCCGAAGATTAATGATCATTCAGGTATTAAATGATCTAGTATTTTAGAACAGGGGAGGTTGAGATGGTATGGCAGTAACTGTCCGGGTTAAAGTCAGAAGCGATGAGCTAACTGCTCAGATCTTGTTTGGAGAGTCTCCGGTTTACAGAGAACAAGTTAAATAACTTGGCATTCTGATGTTCTGTGTATCTATACTAATATTATAAAGCTGAAGAGTTTGTTTGTTTGTTTGAACGCGCTAATCTCAGGAACTACTGGTCTGAATTGAAAAATTATTTCAGTGTTAGAAAGCCCATTTATTGAGGAAGGCTATATTATAACATCATTAAACCGATACAAGTGGAGCACCAATAAAGAATGTTTCAAAATATTTTCACTTTCTACGTAAATGAAGTGGGAGGGAAAATTTAGCGTTATGCCAAAGTAACTATTCCACGCGAACGAAGTCGCGGGCAAAAGCTAGTTTATTATAAACGAAAATAATGCAAACGTTTTTTGTTCATAAATAATTTTATATATATGTATATAACAAGATAGCATGTGCGTATGTAAATATAATAGTTATATAATATAGTATATATATACTCTGGCGTTACGGCGTCTACCCTACATTTTTGTGATATTTATCAAAACAATGTTTTATGATTAAAAAAAAATAAAAATCAAAACATTGTCTCAATATTACTTAAGTCGTTATCCACGACATATATTAGTAATTAATTAAGTTCCAATAGGTCATTTAATAAGTAGCAAAACAGAAAAATGTGCTAAATTAGTAACTGAATGGTACCCTCGAGAGGGGAAAAGATTAAAAGGACGACCGTTCCAAAGATGGGTAGACGACATAAAAGCCGTTACATGCTCCACGTGGAAGAGGAAATGCCACGACCGGAATTTATGTTAGGATTTGGGGGAGGCAACGGCTTGGCTCTGCCCCTGGCATTGCTGAAGTCCATGGGCGACGGTAACCACTCACCATCAGGTTGGCCGTATGCCCCTCTGCCTACAAAGGCAATAAAAAAAAAGAGGCCTATGCGAAAGCAAAACAATCTTAGCCGATGTCAAATGCAAAGAAAAAAATGAATAGTATGTCCCTAAATATGAAATAAGGTTGCTGATAAAGGCTTCTTTATCTTTATCTTAAGTTTCAATGAATGCCAATGAGGTCAATTCAGTTCCCTCCGTTCCTCCGAAGATGCCTTCATCAAAGTATTAGACGAATATTCGGAGTCTGATAACTACGAGTTAGTCTGCGGCGATGAGATATGCGTGCGCGTGCCCAGGCCTAAGCACGACAAGCCGGGGCCCAGCCGGGACTCTGCCCCCCCAGCGGACGACTCCGCCTCACCGGCGGACGAATCGCCCGAGCCGACGGACAGCGAGGTGCGTGATCTTCTTTCTCCTCGCAGACCACTAGTGTATCGTCAATGTAGAAAACAAACAATAATTTTATTAAAATACGTATAATATTCAAGCATTCGAAATTATATAATGACAATAAAAAACAAATAAACAGGGAATAATTATAGTAATATAAATCACAGTAGTCTGTCTCGCCGGATATTCTCAGTGGGTCGCATTTCCGATCCGGTGGTAGATTATGAGAAGCACGACTCTGTCGAAATTGTCAAGATAAATACACATACAATAATAAGAGATTCTCATAGGCCAACCAGCAGAAACCTTCGGGGATGGAGACCTTGACCGAAATAGAAGACAAGTTGGAACGCACCAAGCTACTGATAGAAGCGAGACGCAGAGAGAAAGAGGAGAAAGAGAAGGAGGTTAGTTTATGCTAACACTATTATACGATTTTTTTGGGCTGGGGGTCAAATCTCCTACGAGGTCCCCGCGCTTTGGGGACTGGTCTGTAGATTTCGGGGACCGTAGGACTCGAGGGATGATTAGGGCCCTACCCCTACTAAAGGACGAGGCGAATCGAAGGTTGTGCAACGTCAATCGTCTAGGTACGGTGACCCGTCAGACGGTACCGCTGGTGTCCCGGAACACCATGCTGGACCAGAACCAGCCTTCCGGTTCCTTTTGACAATCAGATTGCTTCATGGCAGCGCGCCGCACACCCTCAACCCCCTCAACATTCGCCGCGGGAAATGCGCAATTTTTTTTTAAATAATAATGCTTCATCTCTTTCTAGCTCGAAAAGCAGAGGGAGATAGAACGACGCGCCACCGGCAAAGGGGTCACGGAACTCAAGAAGTGGCAAGCGGAACAGGAACTGAAGCAGATACAAGTATGCAATGAGCTTACGGCCCGCTCGACGTGAAGGGGTTACGAGCCCATGGACATCACGTGATAACAAAACGTCGTGTCTTGTGGGAGTCAAATGTTCTTTTTTTCTTTCTTCTGACCTCGAGCTGCCATTTTAACAAAACTAGTGGTCCCGCAGTAGTCGAAATTCGACTATAATTAATTGAAATTATAAGTTTGAACATTATTAAGGTTTTATTGTCAAAGACTATTGTACTTCTATCATCACAGATTTCGCCAAGACTACACTATAGACAAATAATATTGAAGATAAACAATATTAACCTATTCTCTATTTGACCATAGACTTTGAGCAATAACTAAAGTTTGGCAATAAACAAAGAGTATATATATGTGTGTGTGTCAAATACATGGTAGTGTGCGTAATGTTTTCTTTATTGATTTAATGTATTATTAGCATTACTTAAAAAAATAATAAGCATGCTGCACTCCTTCTCTATATTCTCTATAAGTGTGGAAAATTTCATACTCCTCCGTCTGCGCAATTTTCGTAAAAAGGGATGCAAAGTTTTTGCTTCGCGTATTAATATATAGATATATATATGTCAGTCAGTTACTTCGTTTCGACGTGAACAAACACACGTGCGCATTTATAATATTAATTTGGATCGGTTTCGCTGGCTTGGGGACGAATTTGTCTCAAAACATTCTAGAGTACCTCATAGAAACACTTGGAAGGATTTGGCGGTATTAAAAAAACCGCCATTCGTATTCCCGATGCAATGTCTCGTCTCGTTACAGGAAGAGAGGAAACGGGAGAAGCTTGAAAACGAGCTCGCCCGGCAGCGGATCCTGCAGCAGATAGCGCAGGACCGGGCCGAGAGGCGCGCCCGGGACCTCGCCCCCGCGCCCCCAGACCCCAAGCCCGCGCCCCCCGCGCAACTGCCGGGAAGTAAGTCTTGAACAACTACCGTCGCCCATGTACCTCAGCAATGCCAGGGGCAGAGCCAAGCCGCTGCCTACCGCTTAATACTCTCCGCAAGCCTCGTTTGAAGAAGGACATGTCACAGCGCTCGGGAAACACCGTGGAGGGGAGCTCATTCCATAGCGGCATTTACGTTGTAGATGTCCATGGGCTCCGATAACCATTTAGCACCAGATGGACTGTGAGCTCATCCATCTATCTAAGCAATAAATATATATATTTTTTTATTGCTTAGATGGATGGACGAGCTCACAGCCCACCTGGTAAATACGTACTGTAAATGCGCCATCCACCTTGAGATATAAGTTCTTAGGTTTCAGTATAGTTACAACGGCTGCCCCGCCTTTCAAACCGAGACGCATTACTGCTTCACGGCAGAAATAGGCGGGGTGGTGGTACCTACCCGCGCGGACACACAAGACAGGTCCAACCACCAGTGATAACGCAAATTGTAATTTTTCGCACCGCAATCTGTACGTTGGTCCGTTGTCAGCAGCAGGGGGGGACGGCGCGGGGGCGCGCGTGCAGTTCAAGCTGCCCGACGGCTCCTCGCACTCGGCGCAGTTCGCGGCCGACGCCACCGTGGAGGACCTGCGCGCGCACGTCAGCCGCAGCGCACAGGTGAGCCCCTGGGGGGACGACCTTGGGGGTCGGGGACCTTGGGGACTGGGGACCAGGGACAGGGGACCGGGGACAGGGGACTTTGGGGACCTTGGGGATCGAGGATCTTGGGGACCGAGGACCTTGGGGATCGGGGTCCTTGGGGACCGATAAACACACTAATATATACATATGTACATGTACACTATTAAAAATTATTTTTAACTAGGTGACCCAGCAGACCTCGTAGTGCCTCAATCGATAAATAAAAGACCTAAACTTTTGTATAAAGTAAACAAACAAAAGGAATCCGTCCGACGAAGGACACATCAAAGGAAAAACAAAATTGTTATTTATATTCAATTCCGAGCATTTTCATATTTATCTATATTTTAAACCTTCTCTGGACCTCCACAAATAATTCAACACCAAAATTAGCCAAATCGATCCAGCCGTTTTCGAATTTTAGCGAGACTAACGAACAGCAATTCATCATTTTTATTTATATAGATATAGATAGATTGAGTGGTCATTGTCGGTCGGACTTATCGAACCGCGACGGGGCAACGCCAAACCGCCGACGCTCGAAACATGTCTTATCGGATCCCCTGGATTCACTCTCGGCGCTTTTAGGACCCTCAAGAACAGGTTACCGTCCTCGTCGAAGAATTCAATGAGTAAATTAACCCAGAGTAAATCAGCCCATTAAATTTCTCAGTGGTAGATTCTGCGAAGCACTGCTCTTGCTAGGGCTAGTGTTTCTTTTTTTTTTTTGTCTGGAGGGAATCGCCGGACTTCCGCCCTTCACTGGGGATGGAGGGCGGGGCATGTCGGAGTCGAACTGACTAAGGTCTATCGCTCAACAACCCACGTCAGAACCCCGAATGAGGCAGAACTCAAGAAAAGGTAAAGGGGGGAAATTGAAGCGTTTAGTGCGGAGCGCATCTCTTCCATCATCCTTCCCGGGCTAGTTTTAGCAAATTCTCTCAGGTTGAGCCCGTGAGCTCACCTACCCGCGCGTAGCGGAAATAGCCTCATATGCTACCAGAGAGTAGGTAGGGACAACAAACTGGGTCGGTGGACAGTCACAAAGGCAGGAGAGCACGTCACGATGAGTGCGCCTGATGCTCGCACGGCTGGAGACGGTGGCCAGTGTGGTCTGAACGTGAAGGTTGAGGTGGACTACGTCTGGTCCCCAGCTGCAGCCGTCCAGCTTCACGCTGTGGACGGCGTTCCCGCGGCGCGAGCTGACGGCGGGGGCGGAGTCCCTGGCGGCGCAGGGGCTGGTCCCGTCGGGCGCCGTGCTGGTGCTGCCCGTGCGCGCCGCACCCCCCGCGCCCGCACTCACTTCCTCCTTCGCCTCGCTGCTCGGTGAGTGCATCAATAAAAGAACCAAAGCAATAAAATTATTATATCGCTTTTTTTTATTGCTTAGATGGGTGGACGAGCTCACAGCCCACCTGGTGTTAAGTGGTTACTGGAGCCCATAGACATCTACAACTTAAATGCGCCACCCACCTTGAAATGTAAGTTCTAAGGTCTCAGTATAGTTGCAACGGCTGCCCCACCCTTCAAACCGAAACGCATTACTGCCTCACGACAGAAATAGGCAGGGTGGTGGTACCCACCCGCGCGTACTCACAAAAGGTCCCAGCACCAATAAACTTTCAACTGTGTTGAATGTTTGCCCAGCATTCTTCTCGAGCCTGTTCTCGACCCTCGTGCTGGAGCCGAGCCAGCAGGTCTACCAGTGGATCAGATCTAGGCTGTTCCCCCCGGCGGCGCCGCGCTCCCCCGATCCCCACTCTCCCTCCCGCGCGGCGCCCCCCGGCCTGCGCCGGAGGGGGAACGTGCACCGTCTGCCCGGGGACACCGGGGCTAGCGACGACAACAACACCTGGAACGGTAACTCAACGCAGCAGATGTAACCGACCACGCCTTCCAAGGGTGCTCAGGACTAAGGGTCCCCCGAGCACAAACATATCCTAGAGTTTGTCTGAAGCTCGTGATCTCCACGGCATCATGGCTCCCTTCACTCATCAAAGCTGATCATTCCGGTACCTTCGACCTACGATAGCCTCAGACTGTGTGGGCCCGTGAAACAGCTTCTTTTGTCTTTGAAATAAAGGTGAAAATTCAGTAACATTAGCCGTAATAACTTTGAAATTTGAATTGAATATTTGTACCTCATATATCTAGTACTTAATATGGTTGCTAAATTTTTTTTAATTGCCCCCAATGTTGATGTTTGGCACCCTCATCACTGCGTGCCCTCACAGGTCATCGACCCCCCTGACATCTGAGTGTTATATGAAGATTTAAGTATACAACATCAATGCTCTCGAACCCGATGTTTTGATATGGAGGGAGGGTGAGGGGGACCGCCCCCCAGCCCGACCTCTGACCAATCCTGTCCTTATTTTGATCCCACATTCAATTAGTTTTGTAATTAATATTCTGTCAAAGATAAATCTCGACTGTAGCCCAGCTGAAAGATGTCCACTAATACAAGTTTGAAGGTGACAAATCAATCTTGCTCTTATTCTAGTGAAAGCTATCCCTTTTTCTGCCCCTGTGTCTTTTTTTTTAAAATAAAAATCGCGGTAATCAAAATTTTAAATCTACCCACATAAATACAAAAAAAAGGCAAAAGCGATTTTAAGCAATGACGCGATCGGATTCTTCTTAAGTCGACATTAAAATGTATATTTGACTGAAATATTTGTTCATTTATTGTTATCAATGTTAATTAATATCATAAGATGGTGCTGTGGAGACCAGACCAGGTTTATATCACTATTCTAAATAATTGTCTGTCTGTTCGTTGTATCTATCACACGCAGGTATGAGAATGATGTTGAGAAGATATCTTCCTTCTTTCTATCTTTGTTTCTCTCTTTCTTTCTTTCCTTCTGCGAAACATAATAATGATGTTAATAATAATTGTAGAAATCATATTTATCACATAATAATATAATAAGTCGTATTTAAATAAATAAAATAATCAAAAAATTGTAATTTTACTGTAGTTTTGTGGAATTGAGAGCAACAACATATTATCGGTTGTCTTGATTAGTTTTTTTTTTTTTATGAAAATGAATGTAAACCTTAAATTTATAGCAATAAAGTTGTGAATTCTGCTGTTAACTAGAGGCACTTCCGACTTTGTGGTTGTATGTATTATTAAAACACTTAAAGTTTAATCTTTTGTTTGATTTATTCGATTCACTATTTCTTGCTTTTTTTTTTTAAGTTAGTTGAATCTATGTGAAGCAGACGGCGTGAATTCACGTGTGACGTCATTTGTGGCTAATAATCACGTACTTGTCATAAATGACGATGTCTGAGTACGGTGGAGATGTGTGGACGAGCTCACAGCCCATCTGGTGTTAAGTGGTTACTGGAGCCCATAGACACCTACAACGTAAATGCTGCCACCTACCTTGAGATAATAGTTTTAAGGTCCCAGTTTTTACACTAATACGACTGCCCCACCCTTCAAACCGAAACGCGCTACTGCTTCACGGCAGAAATAGGCAGGGCGGTGGTGCCTACCCGTGAGGACTCACAAGACGTCCTACCACCAGCAATAATATAAACTGAAATAGTGTTTACAATGTAAATAGAGAGACAGTCGTGAATGTTTAAAACTATTTATGTGGGTATTTATAACAAAATTGCTTTTCGTCGTGGCGTTCTAGTTTTTTTTATGCCTTTGTTTTTCCTTCAGTGTGCTTAGTGCGAGTTTTTTAACGTAACAAGAAAGAGGGGTCGTCGTACCCTTTGACGGGGGGACGGAACGGGCCTCGGGGCAAACCCCATTGCCCGGGCAGACGCTCCCTGCCACACAGGGCCGGGGTGAAGTTGATGCAGGGAGTAGTTGGGGGAGGTACGCTGTTCGCAGCGTGCACGGCTGCACTTCATGACAAAATGATATATACATAAACATAATACGATGGGCTGATGTTCTGCGCGGAGTGATGCCCGCGGCGGAGTCACCCCGGCGCCGGCTGTTGTCCTCTGTCCTATTCTATTTTTTTTTTCTTTCCTTAAAATTAAAGTAGCACTGGTGTCCCGGGCTTTTTTTAACGTTCTCGACAGCGTCAAAGTTCACTCAAAGTTTGCCTACGTTTGCCGCTAGGGGCGCTGTTCATACTCCATACAAATTTGAGTTAACTTTTACGCTATCGAGAACGTTAAAACACTCGCACTGAGCGCAACTGTGCCACAGGTGGTTAGAAGCTGAATAACACTGTACGAATGAATGAATGAGTGAATGAATGAGAGAATGAATGAATGAGTGAATGAATGAGAGAATGAATGAATGTGTGAATGAATGAATGAATGTGTGAATGAATGAATGATTTATTTTATTTCAGCAACCACAAGTCCATATGTGTACATAGTATCATTGAAACATACTTAAAATTAACAAAACCAATCAAATAAAAAAGATACATTTATTAAAAATAATTATCAGTTGAATACATTTCAAACATTCAATTCAAGGCAACATTGGAGGAAGCTGGTGCTTACTTACTTCTATACTTACTTCGAGCCGACCATTATTAATATTATTATTTAGTCCGCAAGTGAACCATGGTACAATCATCTTTACAATAACGAAAAATGTCAATCATTGTAACGAAGTTCAAATTAGAAAGCCGAGTATATATATTATGGCTTCTCAAAGAACACAATATTACAAAGTAAGCTCATTACGTATTTTAACGGGCAATTATGTTAATTTAGAATCAGCATTAGGACGTGCAAAAACGAGTCTTGTTCAAAGCAGAAATAGAATTTAATATTCGTTCGTTTTACGTAATGTGTCTTACGGCATTTCTCTTCCGGAGTACTTAGCTACTGTTTTGTGTGTTTTTCTTTCTGCTATTAACATTTTAACGGTATGTTCACGCTTGTCGGGTTATACGTGAGCAGAGAAATCTTCGTTTTTAGTTGTCAGTCATTCTGTTGTTATTGTTCCGAACTTATATTTTGAGCCGTGGTTTTTTTTGTCCTACCTATTGTCTGGTATCTGTCGTCGGTGTCATCGTGGCTTAAAGGATAAGACGTCCGGTGCATTCGTATATAGCGATGCACCGGTGCTCGAATCCCGCAGGCGGGTACCAATATTTCTAATGAAATACGTACTTAACAATTGTTCACGATTGACTTCCACGGTGAAGGAATAACATCGTGTAATAAAAAATCAAACCCGCAAAATTATAATTTGCGTAATTACTGGTGGTAGTACTTTTGTGAGTCCGCACGGGTGGATACCACTACCCCGCCTATTTCTGCCGTGAAGCAGTAATGCGTTTCGGTTTGAAGGGTGGGGCAGCCGTTGTAACTGTACCTTGTACAGTTACAACGTGTGTGTGTGTGTTATCAAATATGTAAATGTACAATTTCTGAAATAAATATTAAATTAGCCATTTTCTTGTATAAATGAACATTTTCCTTAACTACGATTCTAAGTTAAGCACATTTAAATGACATTCCTATCCTTCCGATCCGGTGGTAGATTCAGCGAAGCACTGCTCTTGCTGGGGCCAGTGTTAGTAACCCCTAGTTCCACGACTATAATGGCGAAAGGCGAAAAATGGCGTAGGAAAAAGAAAAAAAAAGAAAACGTGACACAATAAAATCATTAATACACTACAATCTAGTGAAAACTGTACAATGTCCTTGTAAAGTGGAAACATTGAATGTTTTGTTAATAGCATACTTGGGCAGGTTTACATGGTTGGATTAGCCGGATCATCGCCCAACGTGTTTTTTTTTTTTTCCCACAGGAGAAAATCGCATTCGTGCAATCCGCCGCTCACCTTGAAGTCTATGTTTCGGTTTAGTAATCACAAATCTTGCGGCTTCGATTTTGTATTACACGATGTTATAATTCGTTCATCGTGAAAATGTATTCAGTACGTATCTATACTATCTATACTAATATTATAAAGAGGAAAGATTTGTTTGTTTCGAATAGGCTCCGAAACTACTGGACCGATTTGAAAATTTCTTTTTCCATTAGAAGCCGACATTGTACCTGATGAACATAGGCTACTTTTTTTAAATTTTTTTTTATTTTATTTTTTTTGTTTCATGTGTGTTTTAATGTTTCCGAAGCGAAGCGAGGGCGGGTCGCTAGTTTCATTATAAAAATTGGTACCCGCCTGCGGGGTTCGAACACCGGTACATCGCTACATACGAATGCACCGGACGTCTTATCCTTTAACGACTCTGACATTACTACAGCTTATTGTTCGTTATAAATTAAGCTTTAATTTCATAACAATTACTAAAATTTTAACAAATCAATTTTAGTGTTACATAATGTATTATAGACTGAGATACTTTGGCCTAAATTAAAAATTAAAACTTGTTTTGCTTAGAATAAAAGGCGTTTTTTTTTTTAATTGCCCTTGTAGGCATACGAGCATACGGCCCACCTGATGGTGAGTGGTTACCGTCGCCCATGGACTTCAGCAATGCCAGGGGCAAAGCCAAGCCGCTGCCTACCGAGCAGCAGAGATGCGAATGTTGCGATGGATGTGTGGAGTAACGAGAATAAATAGAATACGGAATGAATATGTTAGAGGAAGTCTGAAAGTGGCACCTGTGACAGAGATGTTGAGAAGTGCCCGTTTGGGATGGTATGGACATGTGATGAGACGAAATGACAATGAGGTTGGTAAGAGAATGTTAACTATGAATGTGGAAGGATATAGAGGAAGAGGTAGACCTAAGAAGAAATAGGTGGATTGCGTGAAAAACGATATGTGTAAGAGGGGAGTGAGCGAAGGAATGGTATATGATAGAGGAGTATGGAAGGAGAAAACATGTCGCGCCGACCCCAGGTGACTGGGAGAAGGGCAGGATAATGATGATGATGACAAAAATCGGTTGTCTGTAAAGTCGGTTTACTGACGATAGTTGAACATGACAACGTCATAAGAATAATACTGATGGAATGGTTTCATTTTTCAAAAGAAAATTTTAATTTTATTTGTTTGATAGATATTTTGAATGGATATAGAGAAGGAGGTAAATTGGAAATCACTATTGAATTGATCAAGTTACATTTATTTGTATGCATAAACTATGTCAATTTTTTTTTTACAATGTACGTAGTTTTTTCATTACATATGTAAATGTATTATTGTATAGGAGCTGTCCACGCGGATACATCGCTCACTCAAGTAGGAGAGAGACAGATGTCGAACGCTGCCGAACGCAGATGCCGATTGTGCCTCTTTGTCGCTCGTTGCGCGCTCTCGCTTGCACTTCAAGCCTTAAATGGAACGCCTCAGAGCGAGGTAACGCCGCATGAGTCATGTTTTTTCGCGCGTGCAGCCGGCTCCATCGAATTATAAGACGTTGACACGTTTTTTGTTTTTTTTGTTTACTTAGTTGGGTGAACGAGCTCACAGCCCACCTGGTGTTAAGTGGTTACTGGAGCCCATAGACATCTACAACGTAAATGCGCCACCCAGCTTGAGATATAAGTTCTGAGATCTCAGTATAGTTACAACGGCTGCCCTATCCTTCAAACCGAAACGCATTACTGCTTCACGGCAGAAATAGGCTAGGCGGTGGTACCTACCCGTGCGGACTAACAAGAGGTCCTACCACCAGTAAAAGTCAAAAAAAAGTTACAACTAAATAGTCCGTTCATAGTTTAATTCGTTTAGGATGTGTAATAATAATAGAATCGACGCGGATGAGCGAAAGTTACAAGTTTCGGTCGAATTCTTTGGCTGCGTAAAGCGGACCATTCGTTACGCGTTTTTTTTTGGCTCTATTATTCACCGCAACAGTATCCGTATGTATATATATGAGTCGACTATTATCAAAGCCGGCAATGTGACTTTTGGACAATTATTGGTAAATCAGAAAAACGAATTATTGACTTTGTATTCCATTGGCAGTCACAAAACTCTTCTGAACGACATCTTAGATAAATAACAGGTTAACTATTAACCTTTATTTAATGCAGGTTTTGAACCGTATTCTTTGAAGGAGACGATTTTATTCAAATCAATCTGTATTGACATATCAATAATTTTTTTTTGTCCAAATGCACAGTTTGCCACCTTTGATAATAGACGACTCATATGTAGTATATGTATTTTCTTTAATAATGTGTTGTTAATAGTACACGGTAACATACCTGCTATATCTTTATCTGTCCAGAATTTGCGGGTAATTAAACGGTTGTCTGGAAGAGATCGCTTTTAGCGATAAGACCGCCTATTGTACAACCGTATTTGCTTGTTGACTGTTTTCTGATGTTAATTGTGTTTTGGTGTGCAATAAAGTGTGTTCTCTCTCTCTCTCTCTCCGCTTGCATAGGTCATGGACAAATATGTTCAAAGTGAGTTCTCTGTTTTCGTTGACGTGTTCATTATAATTTATTTTAATACAAACCAAGTTATTTTCGATTGCATAATTTAATGGTAGATTAAAGATTTCTTCTTACGACTTCCAATAAACACTTGGGATTTTTTTAATGTAAGAAAATACTTTTGAATTAAATATTAATGTTACATTTGTGCAACGCCAAGTGTGAATCATAATATATCACTACATATACTATAAAACAAGGTCGCTTTTTCTGTCCCTATATCTGTCCCTATGTAAGCTTAAATCTTTAAAACTACGCAACGGATTTTGATGCGGTTTTTTTTAATAGATAGAGTGATTGAAGAGGAAGGTTTATATGTATAATAACATCCATTAAATAGTGGAGAAATCAATAATAAATTACAGTTTCCGAAGCGAAGCGAGGGCGGGTCGCTAGTAATTAATATATTACTTATATTTTGTGATAGAAAGCTTATTGATAGTTGGGTGATATTGTGAGTTCAATTCAGAGTAATGAAATTGATACTTCGACCTCAAATTTTGAGGTGGGTGACGGAATTCGTGTTGTGATATCTATGATCACCGGACATCGGTTAACATCAAGCGGGCTGTATGCTCGTTCACCCACTTATGCACTACAAATAAAAGTTCAAAACATTTACCTTTTTATATCATTGCCTTAGTCTTCACGGTCAATGGGTGTAGAAAACGAATAAGAATAAAGTCAATAAATATCTCTAGCATAGCTGTGGACACAGATAATTTTAGATCAATGCTCTAGCCAAGGTGTTAAGTGAGTCTTGTTGACATATAAGTATTCAAAGGTTGACCCCGCTACGAATATAATGGAAGCGCATAATATTCTACATACGTATATTACTAACTAGAAGTTTAATTGATTGACCACCGTGAGATCGTATATAAAATGTTTGACGTTTATTGGTGTTTATTAAATACAAAGAAAATGTAAAAAAGAAATTCTTATTTAGATTTTTGATTGACCCAATCTCACTGAGTAATACCATATCGGGTAATAAAAATCAAACCACCAAAATTATAACCGATAACCACATAAAACCAAAATTACAACAGATGGGACGCGAGCTCGTCCAGCCACCTAATCAATAAATAAAAAATCCATTTTATATTCATTGTATTCGGCAACATAATCTGAATCTTTGAAATTAGTAAGCAACACCTACTTAATCTCGCTTACAATGCTCTATGTAAAAACTACGAATTATTTTAAATTATACTCGACGTGTTTGTACGTTTTTTGAGTAACTCTGTGTGAATAGAACTCTTTACAGTCGACTCACGCAAGTGAAAGAAGAAATGGAACGGCGCTCTCTAGCAGCCAGTTTTGACGCTGCTATTGGCGCGAAATGACGTATGGGCAGTCGCAGACGTATCGTTTCAATGAGTTTCGAGTTTTTAAATCGAATGATTTAAAGCAATAAATAAGATGATGGACATAAAAGAAATTATTAAATGGTTCATACCGTGCTTTCACATACTTAGGAACTCAAGTAAAATGGACGCGCGGTTTGTTTGCGTGGTGTGCTTGGTTATTTTAAATAGTGCTTCGTGCGCGAATGTCCGCAGTGAAATTACCAAAAATGTAGGAATAAGTTTCAATTATAATGGTAGTAATATTCAAAATATGCAAAATGGTTATTTACCAGCTGTATCAGCTAATAATATGGAGCGCGATGGAGTGTTGGAGAATTCTGTAGGTAAGTAACATGGTTAAGTACACTAAGGTAGTTTTCCAATTACAGCACAAGAGCGCATTATGCGGCATAATGCTCAACGTTGAATGTTCCAACTACAGCAACTCGAAGCACAATCGAGCACTCTCAAAAGAACTGCTCTCGCGTGATACTCGCAATCGATACCGACTCAGTGACAGAAAATTTACAAGTGTTTTTTCTTTAAGTTGGCATTGATCGAAATTTTGTTTATATTATCGTTAGTAATATTATTTAATGTTGAAAAAATTGTAAGGCTTTCGTTTCGCCGTAGTTTCTTAGAAATAATTTATGTCAATTAAAACTGTGCTAACTTAGCGCACTCTGCTGATGCATTTGAAAACGAATTCACGTTCCTATTAAGCTTCAGCATAATTCGGCATTGTGCGTCACTCAGTCGCATTATGCTCCGTAATTGGAAAACTACCTAAATATTCAAAAGAGAGTAAGTAAACAGTGCGAGCGCTATCGTGCAAAGGGCACAAACCCACAGATAATAATAGAAATGTGAAATGTATTTTGTTACCTTTTGGTAAAACGAATATAAGATCCAACGGATAATCTTTGTTTGGTAAAACTGGCTGTTGTCGGTGACTTAACTTTCTATTTGTTTAAATAAACTTTAAGAATCGCCGTATTTAAGTTTATTTTTAACCAGTACACCGCCATCTATAGAGTATTATTATTTCTTTATTTCTTAGATGGGTGGACTAGCTCACAGTCCTCATGGTGTTAAATGGTTAGTGGAGCCCATAGACATCTACAACGTAAATGCGCCACCGACCTTGAGATATAAGTTCTAAGGTCTCACTATAGTTACAACGGCTGCCCCACCCTTCAAACCGAAACGCATTACTGCTTCACGGCAGAAATGGTGGTGGTACCTACCCGTGTGGACTCACAAGAGGTTTTACCACCAGTAAAAAGCTGGTGAGTAAGCTTACGGGCTCAACCTGAGAAGAATTTGCTTAGCCCTAGCAAGACTGCTCTTGCTTCCCTGAATATACGATCTTTCTCAAAAATTACTTAGGTATGTCTTTTTGCTATTCTAGAAATATAATAAGTCATCAAACTTTCGGTTTTATAAGCCTAGTGTCTTGGATTGTTGTGTGATGAATAAGTCCGAACAAGGATTTATACTTAATTCACTGAATTTAGGAATATTTTTCTATAACCTTCTCGACCACAGCCATAATTAGTTTTCTAATAATCGTTTTTAACCATGTAAACAATACAAAGACGATTTTGATGACATATATTTTCTTCATAAGCATTACTGTCTATCCTCGTCAATGTTGTTGATTACGAAGAGTTTGACAAGCGAACTAACCCACAGACACACCCCACTAAGTTTCTCGCCGGATCTTCTCAGTGGGTCGCGATTCCGATCCAGTGGTAGATTCTGCGAAGCACTTCTCTTGCTAGGGCTAGTGTTAGCAAATACTTTCAGGCTGAATTCCCATGAGTTCCCGGGCGTAACTGGGATAGCCCCCTAGACAACCAGTGAATAAGTATGAAAAAAAGCTTTCGAAATTCGTTGTTTCTAAANAAGCCTACTGAGTTTCTCGCCGGATCTTCTCAGTGGGTCGCGATTCCGATCCAGTGGTAGATTCTGCGAAGCACTTCTCTTGCTAGGGCTAGTGTTAGCAAATACTTTCAGGCTGAATTCCCATGAGTTCCCGGGCGTAACTGGGATAGCCCCCTAGACAACCAGTGAATAAGTATGAAAAAAAGCTTTCGAAATTCGTTGTTTCTAAAGTTGGGTCCGGTTAAGGCCTATGGTGATAAGTGGCTTTTAAGCTCGGTCTACGAGCACGGCGCTGTTGCTCAACTGTTTCTGAAGAACCTAATGCTCCCTGCTCCTTCGTATCTAAGACTCCATTTCAACCTCATCCGCTGCTGCGACTAGAGCATAGTTCATCAGCAAAGCTCATCATTAGCCGTATTTACTGGTGGTAGGACCTCTTGTGAGTCCGCGCGGGTAGGTACCACCACCCTGCCTATTTCTGCCGTGAAGCAGTAATGCGTTTCGGTTTGAAGGGCGGGGCAGCCGTTGTAACTATACTGAGATCTTAAAACTTATATCTCAAGGTGGGTGGCGCATTTTACGTTGTAGATGTCTATGGGCTCCAGTAACCACTTAACACCAGGTGGGCTGTGAGCTCGTCCACCCATCTAAGCAATAAAAAAAGAATAAAAAATAATGGATCAAGGAAGAGTAGACGGTCAACGCTCTCGCGGCTGATCACCCACAAGGTGGACAGACTTGATGAAGTCATCTACTAACTGTTCCCTTGCTGAATGTGCACGTACCGCCACAAATAGAGAAGATGGAGAAGCCTGGCAGAAGCCGCAACCAAGCAATAAGACATACATAACCACGACCACTCCACCAGGAGTGTACGATTGAGAAGAAGAATGCCCAGCAGTGGGTATCGAAGGGCTGAAGATGATTCATTCGAAGATCGATTCAAAAAAGAGGAAGCGTTTTTTTTTTAATACGCTTTTATTAGCTTCAGACGTATGTATGTAATGGAATCTTTGAACATGATTTTGACCCCCTTCAAAACGTTGGAGAAACTCGAAATTTGGTATACTTATTAAGGACTGATGACAATTCAACACTTAAAAAAAATTTAAAATAAAAAATTTGAAAAAATTGAAATTCAACAAAAAAATGAAAAATAAAAAAATTGTTTAAAATAACTAACAAAATACGCTTTTATAGAAAATCCAACTAAAAAATAGGAAACAAATTTTAATAAATTTGAATTAAAAATAGAGTAAGAAAAAAATTTTTTTTGTAAAAAAGGGGTGGGGTGCTTTTAAGGATATTATCAAAATAAACCTTCTATATTCATATCTGTTCATAAAAATATTTATAACTACTCATACCATGCACCCTACGCTTTTTTTACAATAAAATCATATTTTTAGTTTTTTTTTAAATATTATTTATTAGTTTTTTGTTTTATTTTGTTTGTTTGTAGTTTTTTGTTAGTTAAGTCAGAGCTTTTTTCTAGACGCTTCGATTTCGATGATTCATTTTTTTATTATTATTACTAGCTGACCCGGCAAACGTTGTGTTGCCTTAAATAAGATTTCTAGAGAAATTCTACTGTAGAAAAAAAAACCTCATTTAACCACATAATAAATACCTCATTATAAACAACAAAAAAAAATACAAAAAATTAAAATAAAAAAAAAATGTTTGGGGTGGACAACCCTTTTCACTTAGGGGTATGAAAAAAAGATAGTAGCCGATTCTCAGACCTACTGAACATACTATTGATACACAAATAAAACCAAAAAAATATGGCTGAAAAATGTATAGTATTGTATAGCTCTCAAATATATTAAGTATATAATCTATGATGTATAGTGAGTAAGTAAGACAGGAGACCGGCTTCGTCCTCATCCCTACTACGTGATGTTTGCTGGATGAGTGGTGACACCTGGCGGGGAAAGCTGATCGATTGATAGTTGATCA